CTTTCTATTTGTAGAAATTTTAGTTCTTTCCATTTATTTTTCTGCCGGCGGTTTCACTTTCCGGCGACTTAGTTAGTGGTACAATGGGATCGGCATTGTTGTCGGAATTCGGTACAGAGATTGTAATTCCGATTTGCGCCGTTATCGGAATTGTGTTCTCTCTTGTACAATGGTACCTTGTCTCGCTTGTTAAACTGTCGCCTGAGCAGGGAGGTTGTTCTCCGAGAAACAACAAGAACAATGGATTCAACGAAAGTTTAGTTGAGGAAGAGGAAGGTATCAATGACCAGAACGTTGTTGTTAAGTGTGCCGAAATACAGAATGCCATCTCCGAAGGTGAAAGTTACTTTCTTTTAGATCTCTTTTATTATGGAAAGATCATGTTGTAGCCATAGTTGTGAATAGTTGCTCTTTGTGTGTTCATTTCGTCTTTTATGGAGCTCCACTTGAGCTCTTTTGGAATCAGTCTCTCTATAATGCTACTTAGTTCACATTAGTATTATGTCGTCTGTCATGCTAGTGAACAATGTTATGGCTGTATAGTTTCGTCTCTTCTTTTCATTTTGCTAAATTAATCATATCCTTTGGTTTGGCACAGAGGCTCGGCCAATTATAAAGTTGGTTGAGCATGTAGGAAATACATGCTATAGATGTTATTTCTGTTCCACTTCAGTTTGTTATCTCCAAATCTTTCAGAAAAAGGCTATCATTTGTTGGTGTGGACTTGGTGCTATTGTCTTGACATGAAATTTACATTTTTTCGTTCATTATGCTATTTATCTGCTTCTCTTAGTTGGTTCAGCCTAAGTATTGTTAAATCCTCATTTAAGGTGGCTTAAACCTTGATAGTTGGCTCAGGCTCAATGCTGCTATCTGTGTGTCCATATCACACGAGTCAATATAATGACGGAATATTGTATGATTGTAGTTAAGTATTAATGATTTGCTGGCAACTCATATTAATGATTCCCTGGCAACTCCATGTCATTACAGTTAACCACTTCAAAAACTAAAAAAAATATAAGGGCCAGTTCTTCAGATATTTATGCCCTGGTCAATAATGCTTGTCTTGATTAGGTAAACCAACGTGATAAACTGATTATCTGAGGAGAAATAATATTGTGTATTTTCATGCTAGTTCTATATGTGATGTAGCCTAGGGAGTATTCTATTCGTCATTTTCTGTCAAATCACCTTTATCATGTTTCTGATCTCAATGTCTTTCCCTTGTATCCCTTATTTTTTTCAGCAGCTTCCTTTTGTCTCCTGTTTTTCCTATTTACTCACTCATAAGCATTGGTGTAAATTAAATCATCTTGGCTAGACGTGAAATCTTTTGAGTTAGCATCTAATTCTATTATTCTAATGTAATTTGCTTATTGTGGCAGGCGCAACATCCTTCCTTTTCACTGAATATCAGTATGTGGGTATCTTCATGGTTGCTTTTGCAGTCTTGATCTTCGTGTTCCTTGGCTCTGTTGAGGGCTTCAGCACCAAGAGCCAGCCATGCACTTACAACAAGGAGAAAATGTGCAAGCCAGCCCTTGCTACGGCCATCTTCAGCACAATATCCTTCTTGCTTGGTGCTGTCACTTCAGTTGTTTCTGGTTTCCTTGGGATGAAAATAGCAACATATGCAAATGCAAGGACAACTCTGGAAGCCAGAAAAGGAGTCGGGAAAGCTTTTATTACTGCATTCAGATCTGGTGCGGTAATGGGTTTTCTCCTAGCTGCCAATGGCCTCTTGGTTCTTTATATTACAATTAATCTCTTTAAGCTATACTATGGTGATGACTGGGAGGGACTTTTTGAGGCAATTACTGGCTACGGGCTTGGTGGATCTTCCATGGCTCTTTTTGGTAGAGTTGGTGGTGGCATTTACACCAAGGCTGCCGATGTTGGTGCTGACCTTGTTGGAAAGGTTGAAAGGAACATTCCAGAAGATGATCCCAGAAATCCTGCTGTAAGCTCACGATTTCTCAGGTGTAGCTTCTGATATCCAGAAGAGAACTTATCTGATATTTACTCTATGTGTCTTTGCAGGTGATTGCTGACAATGTTGGTGATAATGTTGGGGACATTGCTGGAATGGGTTCTGATCTTTTTGGGTCATACGCGGAATCATCATGTGCTGCTCTTGTTGTGGCTTCCATCTCGTCTTTTGGAATAGATCATGATTTCACTGCAATGTGTTATCCCCTGCTCATAAGTTCTATGGGAATCCTTGTTTGTTTGATAACCACCCTTTTTGCAACTGACTTCTTCGAAATTAAGGCTGTCAAGGAAATTGAACCAGCCTTGAAGCACCAGCTTATCATCTCAACTGCTCTTATGACGGTGGGAATTGCAATTGTGACTTGGACTTGCCTTCCATCTTCCTTTACTATCTTCAATTTTGGCACACAAAAGGTTGTAAAGAACTGGTAAGTTTCAAGTTCTTTGTTTTGAAAATTTTTGCTTTTGCATTAGATACCAATTTCCAAAATTTGCTGGATCAGGGCTTGCATTTTCTAATCTGTCTTGTCAAGTAATGCATTTCAATTTCCATTTATTTTCTATGTTTTGATCTTTGTTGTTTGGTTGGCTTCTAAATTTTGCGCAGTATGGTTGTCTCTTTTCAGTAGAAAAATTATTGAACAATCAGTGTATGTTATTGTGCAGGCAACTGTTTTTATGTGTGGCTATTGGTCTTTGGGCTGGACTTATCATTGGATTTGTCACAGAGTACTATACTAGCAATGCTTACAGGTTAGTGTCTTCATACTGTGATTTTATGTACTTGTTACAGTGATGTAACTTCATCTTATGTATGTTCTCCCCTTGTTTTCTATTGCAGCCCTGTCCAAGATGTAGCTGACTCCTGCAGGACTGGAGCTGCAACCAATGTTATTTTTGGCCTTGCTCTTGGCTACAAATCTGTCATCATTCCTATCTTTGCCATTGCAGTAGCTATCTTTGTCAGTTTTACTTTTGCCGCCATGTATGGTATCGCTGTTGCTGCTCTTGGAATGTTGAGTACCATTGCTACTGGATTGGCCATTGATGCATATGGACCTATCAGTGACAATGCTGGAGGTATAGCTGAGATGGCTGGAATGAGCCACAGGATCCGTGAAAGAACTGATGCCCTTGATGCTGCTGGAAACACCACTGCTGCTATTGGCAAGGTTGTATCTTTTTTGTTTTGCTTTCCTCTCTGTGACCGTTTCTAGATCCATTTTAGACATTGCGCGCATATTTACGCAAATGCATGGCAATAGATTTGTTTAGAGATCACAATTTTGTTATAGTGATGCATTTGGTACTCTTGTTTCTTTTGGTCAATCGGATTTGAGATTTCTTTCATTTTTTTTTTGACATAGGTAACCATATCTATTTTCATATTTGCATTCTCACAATGCTAAATTTGTTCGACATTTCTCCTTTTATCTAACCTAGTATGAACTTTTTAATTCCTAGGGTTTTGCCATTGGATCCGCTGCACTTGTGTCTCTGGCCCTGTTTGGTGCTTTTGTGAGTCGGGCTTCAATTTCAACAGTCGATGTCTTGACCCCTGAGGTCTTCATTGGTTTGATTGTTGGTGCCATGCTTCCCTACTGGTTCTCTGCCATGACCATGAAGAGTGTCGGTAGTGCAGCTCTGAAGATGGTTGAGGAAGTTCGCCGACAATTTAACACCATCCCTGGTCTCATGGAAGGCCTTGCCAAGCCTGATTACGCTACTTGTGTTAAGATCTCGACTGATGCATCTATTAAAGAAATGATTCCTCCAGGTGCTCTGGTCATGCTTACGCCCCTCATAGTTGGAATTTTCTTCGGAGTGGAGACTCTTTCTGGTGTTCTTGCCGGTGCTTTGGTTTCTGGTGTTCAGGTATAATTGATTCAACCCTCTTTAACGTTGTACATTTTATTTTCTGTTCAAGCTGGTTGTTTACCTTTCCAAAACAGTTCCCTTGGAAGAACACGGTGTAAGAATCTGCTCCTATCTGTCTCATTTTGTAGATTGCAATATCTGCATCAAACACTGGTGGTGCATGGGACAATGCCAAGAAGTATATTGAGGTAAAGAAAATACATCTATGCACTGATATTTTATTTGACACTGCAAGTCTACTAACTGCCGAGTATGTGCCAGGCTGGTGCTTCGGAGCATGCAAGGACCCTTGGCCCAAAAGGTTCTGAACCACACAAAGCTGCGGTTATTGGTGACACCATTGGTGATCCTCTGAAGGATACTTCAGGTCCATCACTCAATATCCTAATCAAGCTGATGGCAGTAGAGTCACTTGTCTTTGCTCCATTCTTTGCAACACATGGCGGTATACTTTTCAAGATTTTCTAAGTAGAAAGACACTTCACCAAGTCCTATGGTATTTTCATTCTTCACCAACCCTTTTTTGCTCTAATTTCTCCAAGCATGGAATTTCTTCATTAGTTCTTAGCTAGTCACAGGTTTAGTTTGAAGATGACGATGGCGTTCACACCTAGTTAATTAATTTTCTTTGGTAGACCCAGTCTTTCAGTTGTCTGTAACCTCATTATCCATGTTTAGTACATCACTGTACGTTTACACGAAGCAAGGTTTCATTTTTATAGCTTAAATTGGTAGTTGTGGGCTTGTGTTAATATCATTGTGTCTTCTTCTCTCCGCTCATTTAGTATTTTACAATTTTCTTGTTATTTGGCCTAGTCTAAATATTTATTGGAATACTTCAAGGAATTAAATGAGCTCAAATAAAAGAGTTCCAATTTGAAATCCAAATAATCATTGGATGATTCATTTATTAGAATGATGCCTTCTCTTCCGGGCAACAACATACCCAATGAAATTCCACAAGTGAGATTTGACAAGAGTATGTATGTAGACCTTACCACTATCTCATGGAGGAGAGAGACTGTTATCTAAAGACCCTTTGCTCAAGTGCAACAATTCTCGGTATAAAGAAGAAGAGACGATGAAGAGAATATAGCAAATAACAAGGAGCAGTGCAAAAGAAGCCATAACAACAATAAAATCACGTGATAATCGAAATATCTTAAACAATATACTAGCACAGATTATTAAAAAAACACTTGCAAAAAAATAAACAACTAGTACCATCACAAACACTAGCCACACCCTAAACAAGACAACACTATACTACCTACTACTCTTCTACTCTAATACGTGTCATCCACACCCTACTATCTAAGGTCATATACTTGATATCCACACCCTACTTGATAACCTGAACCTGCATCTTGTCACCTCTCTCAAAAACTTACTCGCCCTGCAACAAAAAGAAAACAGTGGAAGACATATATAGTAGTACTAAATGTGTGCAGTGTGTAGTGCTCTCAAACCACGCTGGTAAAACTTCCAGTGAGTTTCTGCATAATCTGTCACATTCTTGTATATCCTTGGTCTGTCCATATTGACTAAGTCATCTTCTGGTCCAATTTCTTTCCCTAATTCAGGTGTGTAGAACATTGCGACAGAAATTCTATGCACCAGGCCCTTGAATATTCCATTGCTCATTACCCGTCAATTTCATTTTGGAAAATGGAATGTCTCACTACTAGTAGTACACGTGGAATCCATAGAATACATGTATATTTATAGGGAAAAAGAAAAAAAGAAACTTTTATATATAGCTACGTTGAGCCATATACTAAGCAACTGCAGGTGTGATCATGGTAGTATGGCGGGAGGGAAGGGACACAGTGGCGTGCGCAGAACTTTCAATAAGTTATATCGACGTTTGAAGAAGTGAATAAATAAACACACTAAGCTTGATAATATTGATGACTTATTTTAGTGCTTTTAAACCAAATTTTTTTGTTCTCTTTTTATAACTGAGTGTGTTTATGTATACCTCCATTTGATCACCCATGAGAACAAACAGAGCTGTAGGATCTTTTGGTACTGTATACCATTTGCCATCCTTAAGCACTTGGAGTCCTACTTCATCTTGCAAAATAATACTGTATCCTGTTCCATCAGCATGGGGTTTTAAGCCAAGAACCAGATCAGGCCTCTGACATGGTGAGTAGTAGTTAAACCGCGCATCAAATTGTGCTTGTTTTCCAAATTGTTCCAAGAAGCAATTTTCTTCCAGTTTCAGTGACTTTGCCATAGGTTTAGAGGTAATTTCTGTGACCATTTTCATTTTCTCAGAATAATCTTCTAAGACTTCTCTGCACAGCAAATGTACTCCGATGGCTACAAGTATGAGTGAATCACCATTAAAAACGAATAAGCAAAATATTCAAATTTTAGTTTATGGAGGAGCTAGCTGGAAAATAATCCAACATGCTTATGCTTGAAATCATGATGATACCATATGTCATGTCACTTCGGATTCATTGCTAATTAGCTGCTTATAGAGTCAAATATTAGCTTGCTAGGTCATTTTGTCTATAAACTATTACTACAGTACTCTAGCTATCTTATAAAGGGCAACTGATCGACTCTCCATTTACCTGAATGATATTGGGATTTGTGGCCACAGGTTATACTCTCTTCTATTTTCAGGGAATACCTCGAGGAAGAGACGATCAAACCAATCAAGAGACTGACCTTGTTCCGGAACAGGATCAGCTCCATAACCTTGAAAATCATCAACTGATTTAGCATACTTGTTCTTCTCTTCCATTGGCTGTTTGAAGAATTCCCTTGAAACTTGGCGGATTTTATCCAGAAAAGAAATTTGAATCCCATGTCCTATTCCCTGCTCATCAAATAAAACTCTCTGAATATCGAGAAAGTTGCAGAGTAGAACGTATTCAGATACAGTATTTGGAATGTCCTAAACCTGAAAACATCCCCAAGAAGATAGAGCTGATCCAAGTTTGTCCAACCCTTGTTCGCGTTCGTTATCTGATGGTGTTGAAGATGACAGGAGGTTTTGATCAATTATAGGAGAAGTATCCATTATGTCTTCTTTTTCATCATCTTCACCGCTTCTGCAAATATAAGGTCCTAGTGGCTCCTCCCCATGAAGGACCATTTCTTGAACTCTTTTTGACAGCAACACCTCTGAGAGAGGAACTGAATATGCAGCCATGCTAATTCCATAATCAAGTTACACTATCCAGTGGGTTTCCGGTAAGAAGTTAATGAATTAGACTTCAGGTTCCAGGGTGATAGCATTATATATGTAAGCATAATACATAAGCCACACTTAATACTTTGACCTTAGCTGGAGAGCTCAACTCATCTCCACTCTGCCAGTCGAACGCTCTAAACTTACAAATCATCATTTAGACATGGATTTAAGTGTCACATCAGTGTGGATGTCCACGAGACACAATGTAAATCAATTGGAGTGTTTAGTTGTCAGTTGAAACTTGAAATCAAGTTAAGATGTCTAAACGTGTGCTTCCAAGTTAAAGTGTTCACTTACGGCTGAAGCCAAATTAAAGTGTCTATGTAATACATTACATATATATGTGTGTGTTTCTTATTGTATTTTTCCCTTGGGAAGGGAAATTTGTGAGGAAAAGGAATTGTAGCCAAAATTACATACTAATAATTAAAAAGTAAACTAAATATCTATAAATATTTAATGGTGAGTCCATCTGTACAGTTATGAGTGGCCTTAAGTTTTTGAAATATCAAATGGAGTATCTATTTATGGGAAAAAGTTCAAAGAAGAATATTTGTTGATTTATTCTATTTTATTTGTCCTACCATATGATATGACAGTCGTCAATCTTCATGGACCTGTTACATCAATTGAAATAAGTCACAATTCCTGGGCTACTACTGTGATTTTTCCTTTAAATGTGCACACATCTGTGAATATTAATCTTCAAAGGCCTCATGGATTTGATATTTTAGACTTTAAATATGTATGCAGCAAATTTTATGCAATGCCTTTTGCGCCTTTTAGTTCATTTTTTCTATTGCTGAATCCTTGTCTAACTTAATGTTGGAATGCTTGAAAAAATTAAAGAGAATGAGCTCAGATATTGCAAACCAAATCATCATTGGATGATTCATTTATTAGAATGGTGCCTTCTTCTTCCGAACATGAGGTGAAAGATATGTAAAGCCAAAATTGTTGTTGTAGACTTTCTATCCATGCCCAAATAACATAAGGAAGACATACATATATAGTAGTACTAAATGTGTGCAGTGTGTAGTGCTCTCATACCACGCTGGTAAAACTTCCAGTGAGTTTCTGCATAATCTGTCACTTTCTTGTATATCCTTGGTCTATCCACATTAACTAAGTCATCTTCTGGTCCGATTTCTTTCCCTAATTCAGGTGTGTAGAACATTGCAATAGAAATTCTGTCCCTCTCTGAATTACTCACTACCCTATGCACCGGGCTCTTGAATATTCCATTGCTCATTATCTGTCAATTTCATTGTTGAAAATGGAATGTATCACTACAAGTAGTACATATGCAATCCATAGAGTACATGTATATTTATAGAGGAAAAAAAACGAACTTCTATATATGTACCTCCATTTGATCACCCATGAGAACAAGCAGAGCTGTAGGATTTCTTGGTACTGTATACCATTTTCCATCCTTGAGCACTTGGAGTCCTACTTCATCTTGTAAAATAATAGTGTATCCTGTTCCATCAGCATGGGGTTTTAAGCCAAGAACCAGATCAGGCCTCTGACATGGTGAGTAGTAGTTAAACCTTGCATGCAGTTGCGCTTTTTTTCCAAACTGTTCTAAGAAGCAAGTTTCTTCCAGTTTCAATGACTTTGCCATAGCTTTAGAGGTAATTTCCGTGACCATCTTCATTTTCTCAGAATAATCTTCCAAGACCTCTCTGTAAAACAGATGCAATCATGAGTACGTGTACGAGTGAACCAGCATTAGAACGAATAAGTAAAATACTCAAATTTTAGCTTATGGAGGTGGAAAAATGCCCAATCTGCCAAACATGCTTATGCTTAAAATTAAGATTCAACCATATGCCAAGTCATAACACTTCAGATTCATCACTAATTAGCTGCTTATGCTATTCCGTCTCCAAGTTTCCAGTATTTGTGTATAGGGCATGATTAACTGAGTGCTGAGACAGAGGAAAACAGGAACTTGCCTAAACCCTTAGCCAAAAACCAAGAAGCAAGAAAGCAGACATCTTGTAGGTGTATGCGACTTTCACCTAATTTATACGTTGACAGTGTAAAGACTTCATGCACTTTAACTTGTAGTAGTTGACCTCCGTTGTTCTCCCGGTTACTAATCAGTCTACTTTTGGGTGGTTACTTGTAGTTTTATTTTAGGTGACAATAATGTAAAATAGAGTCGAATATTAGCTTGCTAGATCATTCTCATCTATAGACTGTTACTGTAATACTCTAGCGATCTTACTAAATTGCAACTGATCAACTGGCCATTTACCTGAATGATATTGGGATTTGTGGCCAGAAGTTATACTGTCTTCCATCTTCAGGGAACACCTCGAGGAAGAGACGATCAGACCAATCAAGGGACTGACCTTGTTCTGGAATAGGATCAGCTCCATAACCTTGGAAATCAACAACTGATTTAGCATACTTGTTCTTCTCTTCCATTGGCTGTTTGAAGAATTCCCGTGAAACTTGGCGGATCTTGTCCAGTAAAGAAACTGAAATTCCGTGTCCTATTCCCTGCTCATCAAATATAACTCTTTGAATATCAAGAAAGTTGCATAGTAGAAAGAATTCAGATACAGTATTTGGAATGTCCTAAACCTGAAAACATCCCCAAGAAGATAGAGCTGACCCAAGTTTTTCCAACTCTTGTTCGCGTTTGTTATCTGATGTTGCAGAACAAGACAGGAGGTTTAGATCAATTGTAGGAATTGGAGAAGTATCCATGATGTCTTGTTTTTCATCAACATCTTCACCACTTCTGCAAATATAAGGTCCAAGTGGCTCCTCCCCGTGAAGGACCATTTCTTGAACTCGTTTTGACAGCAACTCCTCTACAGGTGGAACTGCATATGCAGCCATGCTAATTCTATGATCAAGTTACACTATCCAGTGGGTTTCCGATAAGAAGTTCAGGTTCCACAGTGATAGCATTATATGTACGCATAATACAGACACTTAAACTTGGCCTTAGTTGACAAGTAAGCACTCCATATTGTATCTCGTGGACATCTAAAATACCTCAACTCGTCCCCACTCTGTCTGTTTAACACTCCCAACTTACAAAATAATATCTTTTAAAATTTATGTGTCACATCAATATTGAATGTTCACGAGATACAATACGAATGAGTTGGAGTATCTCTTAACAGAAGATAAGGATCAAACGTAAGATTAGTTCAATACAGCTAGCAAAGACAAATGCAACTGTCCCCACATGTGGAGGCGCCTGCAGACTGCAGTCATGCACATCCAAAAACTTCCCATACTTGGTTTTCCCTCGGGAAAAGAAATTTGTGAGGATTGTGCTGTGTTGCTTGAACCATCAGAATATATTTAGCTCAAAACGAAGAAGCCAAAGACTTTTTGACATGCTGCCCTAGCTATCTATCATGCAAGCTGTGGCAGATCTAGAGCACAAACTATGGATTCGCAGAAGCACAATAGCGTTTAGGCATATAAATATGTGGACTCAGTTACTATTGTATATTGACTTTAAGTTGTTTTAGAACGCAATAACTTCAGATTCTGAATCCACAAATGCAAAGCGAGTGGTCTAAAAGTTTTCGAAATATAAAATTATCTATCTATGGGCTCTCAAAGAAGAATATTTGTTGATTTATTCTACATTTTTTGTCCCACCATATCATATGACTAACTTCATGGACCTTTACTCTTACAATTCTCAAAAGAAATCAGCAACATTGACATATGGCATAATGCGATATAAAAGAAACAAGAAAAGGATAAAATAATGCAGAGAATACTGTACAGACTCCAAATATCCATCTTCTTAGGTCTCATAAGATTTGATATTCTAGACTTGAAACATGTATGCTGCAAATTATATGCCATGTCTTACATTCAAAGAACATTGTAGAAACGATAACTTTAGGGATTACTGTGAGGTAAGTAATAGAACTACATTTATGGCAGAACTACTGAATTTGATCACAAGGAACAGAAATAAGCTAACACATTTTGCATGTTACAGTAAACAAACGAAAATTAGAATCAAATTTCTCCACGATAACCTCCAGAGCCGAAGTAGTCCCGCCTTGAATTTGCAATTTGTTGACTTCTTTGGTGGTCTAGTTTGGGACAGTCCCGGATACGATGACCAAGCCCACCACAATATGCACAACCCTTTACTCCACTTGCATCTGTGATGGCATCGACATCATCCATGGGATCATTGAGCTCTGCAAGGACTGGAGGGATTCTCTGCTTTGCTTCTTGCAGCAAGTGCTTTAGATCAAGCAGAGTAGTTTCGCTCTGGTTCTTGTTAATAAATGTGGTGGCAATTCCTGTTTTTCCACATCGTCCTGTTCGTCCAATCCTGTGCACATAGTTTTCAATTTCAGCAGGCATATCATAGTTAATCACATGTTGAATATCAGGAAAATCCAGCCCCTTTGAGGCAACGTCAGTGGCAACTAAAACATCTTTCTTGCATGCTTTGAAAGCTGCAATTGCGTATTCTCTCTCTTCTTGATCCTTGCCTCCATGAACAGCCACAGCTTCAACTCCTTTTAAGAGCAAATACTCATGGATATCATCCACATCAGCCTTATTCTCACAGAAAACCAGAACAGGAGGAGGTGTTTTTTGCAAGCATTCGAGAAGGTAAACAATCTTGGCCTCCTGCTTCACATACTCCACTTCCTGGATCACATCAAGATTGGCTGCTCCAGCTCTGCCCACATTCACAATTACTGGTTTAACAAGTGCATTTCTTGCAAAGTTTTGGATCTTTGTGGGCATTGTAGCAGAAAATAGAAGAGTTTGTCTTTGAGCTTTGAAATGATCAAACACCTCCCTAATATCATCTTCAAAACCAAGATCTACCAGTCTGTCTGCCTCATCAAGCGTCAAGTATCTGCAAGAAAGCAACAATTTGGTAAGCACTCAAAATTTTCAAATAAAAATATCTGGAAGAATCATGAAATGTTTCATAAATACAAAACAACATACGGCTGGAAAATGTAGATTAGTTGCAAACAATGTATTTTACACATAACCCCAAAGGCATCTCTCTTTTCCTCTAATATGTGAACCCAAGTAAATGTAGCAACAGGTACACACTCAATAGAAGAACATACTGTGTGGAACACTCACCAGCCGGAAACATACACATGAGTTATAATAACGAAGGCTTATGATCCCAAATGGTGGATTAATTACAACAACAATATATACCTAATGTAATCCCACAAAGTAGAGTCTAGGAAGGGTAAATACATACTACCCCTCCCTAGGTAGAGAGGCTGTTTACAATAGATCCTCCCTCATCTCAAGGAAATAAAAATCCAAATTAGTATAGAGAAAAAAATAATATAAATGAAGAAGTCATGGCAAAATACTACGTACAACCTGACAAAGCATCCTGAACAGTAGTCATAACAAGATACTAAGGACAACCTGACGAAGCATCCTGGACAGTAGTCATAACAACATAAAAAGATAATCAAAGTACAAGAAACAACAAATAATAGCCAAATTCAAAGGACAAGACTACAAGACTAATACTACAACTAACAGTACGCCTAATAGTGCAGAGGAATAATTGAGACAACTCTTAACTTTCTAACTAACCTGCTACCCTAATTCGTGCCCTCCATAACCTCCTATGGTTATTTCCAGAGTAAGCTGAAGTTGGTCATGTTCTATCTATTCACCTCTCTCCAATACTTCTTTGGCCTTGTGATGGTGGACTAATTAGAAGCCTATATAAGTAACTAGCTGATTTTGAATATACTTTTCTAAGCAACAGAACATCTTTAACTACATCAGACAGAACCAGGGCAAAAATATCACCCTGCCCCTATGTTTTTTCATCAAATACTGATTCTATTTAGCCGATGTCCCATCCAGATGAAAAGTCCCTACTTATGGGGGGTAATATCGAGTTAAAACAGAACATTTTAGAGACTCCAGATAAATTTCAACTAAAAGTGCTGATCATCACCTGCAGTTGTCAAGGTTCATTTTCTTCTTCGCTAGCAGATCTTTCAGTCTTCCAGGAGTAGCAACAACAATATGAACTCCCCTCTTCACAACATCAACCTGGGATTTCATATCAACTCCACCAATGCATAGCAAAGGCCTCAATTCCGGATAACCACTCTCCATCAGAGGTTCTATAAACTGTTCTATAACTTCATAAGTCTGTCTGGCAAGCTCTCTAGATGGACAAATAATCAAGCCAAATGGTCCTTCCCCAGGGGCAATAGGCAACATAATTTCTTCTTGCAATGCCACCATGATAAGCGGCAGCACAAAAACTAATGTCTTACCTGAACCTGTGAAAGCTATACCTATCATATCCCGACCTGATAAAATCACTGGAAGCCCCTGCACTTGGATTGGCGTTGGCTGAATAATACCCTTTGCTCTGAGTTTCTTCAGAATTGGTTCAGGGAACCTCATATCTTTGAAGTTCTTGATTGGTGGGGTAACATCATCCCCTTCCACAATGATATGCCACTGTTTTCGAATGGCATCACAAGCTTTCTTCGAGTTCCGTCTGATGGCTAAGGGTGGCTTCCACCCAGTGCGTAAAGGCTCTGTATAAGTAATTCCCTTGGCTAGTTCCCGAACAGACATCAACGTTTTCTTATCAGATAAATGCTCAATCATCTCCTTCTCTTGCTGAAACACTTGTTCAGCATGACTTATCTCAGGTTGCTCTTTCTTTAACTGAGATGCCTTCACAAGTAAACTAGGCTTCGCTTCAACAAGCTTTATTTTCTCCTCTTCTTCTTCAAATGCTTCAGATTTCCCCTTGCGCTGAAGGATCTTTTGGGCCTCAATTGCCCTGCGCTTAGCAACTGGTACATACTCAACGTAATCATCCTCCTCTTCAATCTCCTACAAGCACAACACTGAGTAAGACGAGCTAAAATACTCAGATATCACTTCTTAGTACAACACAAGAAAATAGGTACGATCCATTACACACACAGAACAGACAAGCACGAAACATTGTTCTCCAAGCTAAAAAAAAAAGTTCAATCTACCAAAGAAACAGCGTATGCGGAGGACCCAAAATCAGAATAAACTACATAGTATACTCTAATACACAATAAAATTAGCAAAACCTCATAAAACAATCAAAATCAATTTCTCAAAAAAAATCCCAAATGTTTAAAAAAAATACAACATTTCACTGAAAAATTGAGAAAGCAAGAATCCACATACCATATTTAAGTGGTCTGCCATCTGAGCAATAGCAAAAAAGTAGGTAATTGCAGAGAGACTAATCTCCGCTCGAGTAATTGCTGGGAACTAAATTCCGGCGACCACTAGTATGTTGCTGCGCTCAAGGTCCGTTGCCGTTCTGATGAAGGATGAATCAATTTCAGGTATTTATAGTATGCCACTGAATTAGGATCCAAAACATAAATAAGCCGACTTCTCCAGAAGGAGAGCAATTTTATTTGCCCCATGTTTTAATTTTGTCTTTTAATATTTTAAGAAATTAAAAAAAATAGCTGAAATTATTAAGGAAATCGAAAAAAAAAATGCATAATACAAATTATGTTTTATAAGAAAAAATCACAATATAGAAATTGTTCTTTTAAAAAGTCATAACTTAATTTCTAAAAAATGTATGTTAATAAAGGTATAAATTTAATATTGAAAAACTTTCGATAAGTGAAATTTAAAATTAAAAGATAATCAAATAAATATATTTATATAGCATAATATTATGTTAATTTTGAATATAAAATTACAATCTTTGATTTAAAAAAATAATATCTCTGAGTTTAATTATTTGAGGTGCGATTATATTTAGAACATAAAATTCGAGATCGTTAAGGAATCCTAATAAGGCCTAATAAAAGAGAAAATAATCCTACCACCCATTCAAGCTTTTAACTTTTATTATCCAATCTATGGCCAATGCATTAAAAATATCTCCATTTCTCAAAAACCTCACCTTTTCATCACTCTGCAGAACCCTACAGTCCGCCATATCCACATCTCCTAACCCCTCAATTACTTCCATGGAAGTAGAAGTCAAGCTACGTTTACCAGACGCTGTCACTCACCAACGTGTCTCCTCAATTCTCTCACCTTACCACCTCAAAACTCACGCCCAAGAGAACATCTTCTTTGACGGAGCCAACTCCGAACTCTCCTCCAAACTCGCCGTTCTCCGCCTCCGATTCTACGATCTCGACACCCAATGCATTATCTCCCTCAAGGCTAAACCCGTAATTTCAAACGGTATCAGTCGCATTGAAGAAGATGAAGAACCTATTGACCCTTCAATTGGCCGGGCGTGTGTTTCGGAGCCGTGGCGGTTACCTTTGATTGATTCTTCGAGGATAATGCGGAGGGTGAAAGAAGAGTATGGAATTGGGGAAAAGGGTTTGGTTTGTTTGGGCGGGTTTAGGAATGTGAGAGCGGTGTATGAGTGGAGCGGGTTGAAATTGGAGCTAGATGAAACACATTATGATTTTGGAATGAATTATGAGATTGAATGTGAGAGTAGTGATCCAGAAAAAGCTAAGGATTTGCTGGAGGAGTTTTTGAAGATTCATGGTATTGAATATTCCTACTCCAATGTTTCTAAATTTGCCATTTTTCGCTCTAGAAAATTGCCTCAGTAAGTAATAGTAGTAGTAACAATGTTGTCGCAGATTATACATTCCTTTTCAACATAGATTCTTTCCTAATTGATTATGAGTGTGGCAACTACTATCACTATACTAGTGATGTTACCAAAATTGGTTGTACTGATTATATATGGTATTAGCCTCAAATTAAAATGGCAATGTGGAATGAAGATGAATAGGGAGGATAGAAGATGATGTTTACACAACAATCGTCATTAAGAAAGAGTCTTTGGAAAACCGGAGTTTCTAAGGCAGCTACTTGAACCTTTTGTTGAAAGATCCATTGTGTTTCATTATTATCACCAAAGAGAGTTATTTTTCTGGGAGGACTAAATTTGAAGTTCAATCCTAGGTCCATAAACCTGTTATAGACCCCCTGGATTTAAAGGTAATTTACTAACTCCCATGTTGCAGACAAGGTGGATTGTTTGAGTCAAGTTTATTGATGCTTTATAGGTTTTTACTCAATTGGAAGCCCTGTCGAGGCAAGTTAGGGGCTTCATAAATGTCGATAGATTGAACTTCCTTTTGGTTAGAATCATAAATAGAAGACCTAGAATATTGCTGTGTTTATGATACATATTAGGTTTATCTATTGTATTGCCACAATTTTTTGTGAGCCTTATTGATCCAAATCTCATAGATCATTTTTATCAACTAATTCTAGGAATTCTGGAAATTTCAGTACTATCTTTTCATTTCATCTTTGTATATGGTGGTTGATTATCTTCTTCCTCGTCATCGTCATCAGAATCATCATCATCCTCGTCATCAGAATCATCATCATCCTCGTCATCAGAATCATCATCATCATCTTCGTCATCGGAATCATCATCACTACCTTCATTTGCATCAGCATCATCTCCATCAGAATCCTCCTCCTCATCATCACTTCCTTCTTCATCTTCAGCATCATCATCCTCATCATTATCAGTGTCTTCATTTTCATCATCATCATCAGTTTCACTTGAATCCTTAGGTTCGTTATCTGGCACCGTACCTTCTTTAAGCTCACCAAAAGGAAACCTATAATATGATCTGGGGATCCAATGAACACTCAAACTCACATACAAACACCAAACAAAAAGGAATATAAATAGAAAAGAGAAGAACATAATTTTTGGGTACCTCCTCTCTACTACAACAAGGTCCGGGTACAAGCTTAGAAACTCAATCTGAAAAAATGGAATCTGATTTAGCAACTATTTATCAATGAAAGGAAATAAAACAGTACTGTCTAGTCATGGAGCAGCAACTACAAAAACTATAAAGCAAGTTGCTCCAAACAATTACATTTCTATTCCAAGAAATTTCTCGGGTTCTTCACTTCTGTTATTTCTTTTTGCGTATGCTTTGAACTGGTTTTCTTTGCGGAAAAAAACAGTCTCGTTACTATTTTTCTTCAAACCTAGGATATATCGAAAAAACAATCTTTCTACCTCCTCCAGGATAAGGATAGGTTGCCCGGACTCTCTAGTTTTGATACATATATAGAGCTAATGTAGATAGGAAAAGGCTTCAACCACACAATCCAATAAAAAGAAGTTCCAGTTCTGAGCTCTACATCACTTGAACTAAAAATGACACCAAGAGAAAGATGTGATAGTGAAAGGGCAAAGAATTTACCATGAAGAGAAGAGAAAGAAGAGATTTTTGAGCAGTTTGAAGCAGCAATGACCAAATCATTGTCTGCACAGCCACATTGCTGGTGGGAAATGTCTCCATGTCCATTGAAGAATACCTCAAAAATGTAAGGAAGAATAAGAGTTGGCAAAAGTTTTTTTTTTTTTGGTCCAAAACTAGACTTCTTATTTTAAAAGAAAAAAAATAAAGAAACCATGTGACCAAATCTAACTTTGTCCCCTCAACTGTCCAAGTGGATCCAAAAGATAAAAAAGCAACACTCCTATTTTGGTTCACTTTTTACATGTCACAATTTGATACACCCATAAAAAAAAAATAATTAATGGTATATGTATTTTACTAAATTATCCCTTATATTAAATAATGTCTTAAAAAATAAGTAATATTTAATACCAAAGATAAAACACGGAAAAAAAATTATGTCTTTTCTTGATATGTTTAAAGTGACAAATAAAAATGAAGAAGAAAATAATTTTCTTTTTTTCGTATCCTGCGTTCAATAATAGTTGTCTACTATACTATTTTGGTATGTTCAATAATTCTTTTGTCTACTTTATAATAATCAATAGATAATCTTACACTTAGTTTTTAATTTATCTTATCATCAATTATGAGTTATTTCCCTATTTTATTTTTTAAAATATTATATGTATTATATTTAAAGAGCAATATAGTAAATTAGCCTGTTATTTATAACCTACGCAAAGTTAATAGTGAACGCCGTAAAAATAGAGAGGACCTCATACACCAACGAAGAGAAAGTCATCTATTTTGTACAACACCAACCACTTAGGACTACTCAAATCTCATTTCTTTTGGTTATCGGGTTTTTGGTATTGCCTTGGTTTGAATATAGACCTAAAAAGTTTTCTTTAGAAGTAAAGTGATCTTATACCAAAAACAGACTTCATTTGATATCGAGATTTCTAACTAAGAATTAACGAGTACTTATAATTTCGTCACAAATTTGGTAATAGGACCTCAAATTTAATGTTCATTAAAAAATAATACTTTCTTCGTCTATGTTTATTTGTCCATTATATTAAAAATAATTGTCAGATAATATTTGTTTTCTTTGAAAAAATCAAAAGATAATTTCTCCTTTTGTGTCCTTACTATCAAATACTATACAAAATCTATACATTTTTCAAAGAATTAAATTTAATATATATTCAAAGGATAATGTATTGATATTATTCTATTCTTTATTTTTCTTAAGATATGTGTCAAATTAATAGTAAACAGCTATGAATGATATAAACAAAATTTATGTTTTGAATTTGAAGCAGTCCGGGGTGACTCGACAGTATTAAAAAAAAGACATGTCTTAGGCCCCCAAATTTAAGGGACCTCATTTTTAATAACAATAGTTATAAGTTATAATTTTAAACAAATATTAAATACTATTTATAGAGAAAAGTAAATTTTCATGAAAATGAAGGAATTAGTAGAAAAAGTTTCATATATTTAGAGTACTATATCTCATGAAAAATAATTTAAAATAAGAATGATTATATTCTCAATTGAAAACTAGAAGGAATCAATTATATAAAAGTTATTAGCAATTCAAATTTAAGTTCCCGTTTGATTTTTGCTTTAAGCCACTACTATACTTGAGCCGTTCTTAAAAGCAGTATATTAAAATTGAAATTCAGACATAAATTTATAAACCCATTATTTGCTACCTAATACTATCCACTTAAAATAACAACATATTATGTGAAATTTCACGATTGAAATCCAGATTGGCGGTCTAAAAATCTTAAAGCTAAATTTTGTGGCAAGGGTAAAGAAACAAGCTTTTGTTTGTGTCAAAAAAATCCAAAATCGAAGGTTGCTTTTATCACATGGGTAACAGTAAATTTGTTCCAGTTTTTTGTCGGTCCGTGACCTATTTTCTCAAATATGCTTTATTAACTTTAGAAACAAAAAAGACATTGCTAAATCATTATTTTGTGCACTTTTAAAAGCACAGTTGTTTGTTGGGTTCTTTCAAGAAATCACATGACAATAATACTAGTAATACTTTTGTTTAACTTCAAAAGGAAACATTATTATGTGTTTCACTAACCTATGAAACATCTATTGGGGTACTTGCTTACAATCATTTCTACTCTCTCCAAGAAATTTGTTCTACTTGTTTCATTTTTAAAGCAAAATTATACGCATAAATAGGTTCAGAATTTAAAATCAGTTAGTTTAACGCACCATATGTATATATAACAACTTAGTATTGTGTAGATTAGTATTGTAAACGTTAATGCAGATATTAGTAACACATTGGAAATTAATAAGGGAAATGGCACGCAAAACCTGACTTTTTGCAGATTAATTTGAGTCAAACCTAATTTCAATTAACAATAATATATGCATAATCAAACCTTTACTTTTGTACCTTGTGGAGAAAGCAGATTCTCAGTCAAAGATCTGGAAAAGGTTTGTTTCCATTTATTCAAACTGTATTCTCAACCGACAAATTCTTGGAGGGAAAAAATAGGTAAGAAATAAAAGTCTCTAAACGTAAAAAAGTGCTTATTTTACAACCAAGTATATAGGTTAACAGTTAATAAAGCGATGAAAATCGCAAGAGATTAAGATTTAAATCATAGCAGAGACAAATGCTAGGTGATTTCTTCTTACATGTCGAAATCTTCGTTAGTTAAGTTATATGTTATGTTTATGCTAGTCGAAGTAAGCAAGTATCTTATGAAATAATTGAGATGCAAATAAGCATCATCATTATAAAAAAAAAAGACATTGCTTAGAGGAAGGGTCAAATTTATCACGTAAATTATAGTACACAAAAATCTATGATCTCCTCATAAGATTTGATATTTTATGTATATATCCTAGAATTCATATAATATTACACGTTGTAACTCATACTTGAATGGTAAGTTATTTAAGTTAAGAATTTAGGGTCATTTCCCACTTGATATTTTATTTATAGGACCATCAATATTCTAGAAATTCTAGATTCGTCTCTGGTAGGATAATTAGGCGGATAATTCTCTATAATATATATACTATAAAAGGTTTTCATTGCATATTGGAGTGACTAATCCATTGAGCAAAAGGCAAAAGGAAAAGCAAAAGCAGATAAATTCAAAGGTATCCAAAACTTTCTCCACGCCGTGATTGATGGCCATATAATAAACTCAAAGATTTCTTATTTTTCACTCTTTTTGAAGTGTTCCAATTGACAATTTACTCAATTTTGGAGGGAACAAAATTGGCCTTCATTAGTGAAAGACCCCACAAAACCATATGCAATAATACCATCTTTTTCTTTTTAGTCATCATTCTCAAGTTCCAACTACCACCTCAACAAAAGCAAAGCCACGTTACTGAGAATTAATTAACGAAAATAGTTTAATTACTATTAAATATATATTTTTAATAATAATTAGTATATTTTATAAATATTATAAGAGACTATAGTGATATTAAATTTAATGTAATTAACTAATATTTGTTAAGACTTTAACACTTTTTATTAATGTATATCAGATGTTAGTAGAAGCTTTTTTTGTTATAGTGACACAACACACATTGAGAGGGGTAAAAAAGCAAAGTCCAAATTCTTTTTTTCCCTTTAAGATGTCTTAACTACTTTCAACTTTATAAATACCTTCAAACACCTCTATTTTCCTTTCAAAAACCCATGGATTGGTTTTCTTGGCTGTCAAAAACAGAACTAGAGCCATCTCTTGTTTATGAATATGGTCTAGCATTTGCTCATAATGAGCTAGAACAAGACGATATCGCGTATTTCAATCACGAATTCCTTCAAAGCATGGGCATTTCTATAGCCAAACACAGGCTAGAAATCCTCAAACTTGCCAAGAAAGAACGAGGAAATGTTCCGAATTCAATGTCAAAGTTTCTCCTGGTAATGAAACGTACGAAGAAACGTTTTTCAAAGTATTTTAGGACGTGGATTCATCGCGATGAGTCAGCACTTGCACTTGTGTCAAGAAGAAGTTATAGTTCAAGAATATGGAAGAGGACAAAAATGATGAAAAGGAACAAGAGTGTTGTGGCACCAGCAAAACATACTAGTAGTACTACTTTGTTGCTTACAAATGGTAGTCCAATATTCATGTCGAGTTCATTAAGAATGGATAGTTTTTCGAGCGCGATGGTTCATGAGAAGATGGAGGTTGATTGTGGTGATTATTGGGGTTCTTCTGTAGTTGAAGAGATCAAGTGGGATTCAATGTTTCAAAATATGAAACCAACTTGAATTTTTCTCTTGTTTTTGGTTATAATTGGTGAGAGATAACTTTTTGGTTCTTTCACCAAATTTTTCAAGATTTGGTTTGGTAGGGTGTTTTTAGTGTTGGTGGTGGGGATAAAAGCAATGATTATGTGCGTTGATAATTTGATATGATGAGGATCTATATTAGTAATGAATGAGATTCACTTCATGATTTTGCATATTTATTATTAGGTTACCATCTCTTTATCCAATTTAAGCATTATCATGTTTATTTGAATGCATCTTCTAAATTTATTGTACAAGCATAAGATATACGCAGCCTTAACCCTGTATCTATGAGATAGAGAGGTTGTTTCCAATTCCTCGGCAACCCTCCTCCATAAGATATACGCGACCTTAACCCTGTATCTATGAGGTAGAGAGGTTGTTTTCAATTTCTCAACAACTCTCCTCCATAAGATATACGCGGCCTTAACCCTGCATCTATGAGGTAGAGAGGTTGTTTTCAATTCCTCGACAACCCTCCTCCGTTATCTAGGATTCAAATCAACAATGTGAATGATCTCACATAGGCAGAGTTTGAAGCCATTACATATTAAACAGAAATAAAAATACAGAAACAGACTAATGGAAAATTTTGGTATTATATCATTTCTTGAAAGTACTTCCAAGAAGAGGGGTAAATGTTTAAAAGCATCTCTTTGATTTGTGAACTACAAAATTAATCCAATGTAAGATTGGAAAGAAAATAAAGGCTGAAACTAACAAACAGAATTATCAAGCACAAAACGTTCTGTATAAATAGTAAATCAAAAATTCTGGGGAACTAGAACAACAATCAGTCCTTAAGAAAGAAACTCATGTTACAATTGAAGTTCCGGAATTCAATTTCCCATATCACCATAACGCAGAAAAATATAAAAGAGGTGAAAATGAATCATCAATAGCTGCGACCCCAGTATGTCCACTTCTTAGCGGATTTACCCGAGGCAAAGCACAAAGTACCTACAATGGTGAAGAGACCGCGGTTAAATATGACACAGCAGTACTATCCAAGTTTGAATTAACAGTATAATTGGCAAGTCCACATATATGCATTAGGAATGCTTACTTTTACTTTGATGTGTTTTACGTAATAGTTTATACACACTACAAGAATAAATAGTACCTTCAGGCAGCTCAGGCTGGTCAAATGGAGAACAAAGAGTCTTCGCTGCACCCATCTCCCCTTTTGTGCGTGCCTTTACTTCTTTCTCAACATCCTATTAGAAAGTACCAAAGTTTATATGGAACGAAGTCAAGCAGGAAATGCAGGCAACAAAGGGATCACCTCAATTCCAGAGGAACATGCATCAGGGATAACAAACTTACTAAGTACGCACAATTTCATATTATTATCACAAGAGAAGGAGAACCTGCACTAACCATGAAACAAAGTGCTCTAGAAGGATTTCTTAGTTTAAGTTCATTATCATTTCATTATTTTTTGGCTGTGAAAAGGTGGCATTATTGGAAGGGTAGCCAAAATAGTCTATTACAGCAGCTCAGGCATTAAAACATCCAACTGGAACTAGCACATCTTTCCCTGTTTCGATAAAACGAAGTGCATGATCTGTCCAAACCAGACCTTCATTAGTTGTTCTGCATAATGCACGTGAGTTCTTCTTAATCAATCATGGAAGTGGTGCCAAATAAATTGGGACAAAGGTAGTAGTATTTACCCGGAGCACTTTTGGAACATTGATAAACCACAAAGTAATACTCTAATATTCACAAAAATGCTAGTAAAACTAACTAACAAAAAGAGGCACTATCCAAAAGTACTTTTTCAAAATCATTTCAAAATCAGTTGATTTTAAAAGCTTGGCCAAACAGACTAAAAATCAACCGTACTACTGTGTGGCATTTCAAGATCAAAACTTGCTTGATGCAGTCTTCTTAAAGTAAAACTCCATATGTTTCCAGACGAAATTTGAGAAAATTAAAAGATTCATCTCACATTTTTTTTGAACTGAAAAGATTCATCTCATATGCAACTAGTTTGATAGGATTTTACCTCCTCATCACACCAAGGAGCCAATATCAATTTCTTTTGGCCCAATGCTTCTGCAAATTCCTCCCAGGTCTTTACAACCTGAACACAAGCTTCCCGTTTTTGTTTTGCAGTTTCAAATAGATTTTGTTGGATAGAATCGAGCACATCTTTTACTTGTTCGACTAAGTTTGCCACAGGAATATCAGTTTTGGCTCCATTGTCACGGCGAACAGCTCGTACCTGGAAAGTTATATAGAGTTTTGGATTTAAAAACATAAAACAAAAGTACAGCATTTTATTTGGCTGCTTTAAGCAAACAAAAAAATTTCACCCATAACACAACATTTCTACCTTTTGTTTTCATAAACAGCCAACTTAGTAGAAAGTAAACTATAATTCTTACCTGGTTATTTGCAAGATCTTTTGGTCCTATTTCAATCCTAAGAGGGACCCCCTTCATTTCCCAGTGAGAATATTTCCAGCCAGGCGAGTAGTTGTCTCTGAAGTCAGCCTCAGCACGAATACCAGATTCATTCAAGCTTTTAACAGTGGCAGCACAGGCATCATAGATTCCTTGAGTATTAGCATCCTTGTATGGCACAGGGATAACAACTACTTGAGTTGTTGCAACTTTAGGAGGTAAGACCAGGCCTTTATCATCTCCATGAGTCATGATCATCACACCAATCTGTCAAGGTACCAGAAAAGGAGGGAGAGTTAGTTTGACATCTGAATTGTCAATAGAGAGTTGTTCATTGGCATGGAATGCCCACCGTTCTGGTAGTATAGGCCCAGGAGTTCTGCCAGACCATAGCCTTTTCTCCCTTCTCATTTTCAAAATTTATCTCAAACATCTTTGCGAAATTTTGGCCCAAACAGTGTGAAGTTGCACCTTGGATACCACGGCCAGTATTAGGGATAAAAGCCTAGCAAACAAAGCCATAAACCATGTAAAAGAATGACAGATAAGAACAATTCTACCAACAGTTAAAGGGACTGCCAGATACTGTCCCTGACAGAAGTATCATATTCTATACCTCTACTGTAGTCGTGTAGAGTCCTCCAGCGAACTTCTCAAGCTCACTTTTCTTTCCCTTACTTACTGGAACAGCTAAGAATTCCTCATATATACGTCTATACAACTCCAAGATGTCAAGAACCTGAAAAGACCGTCAGAACATCAGTAGTTATTAGATAGTACTAGTAAGGCTAGATTCTTACACGTAAATTCACAATCCTTTCAAGGATAAATCAAGGCACCTCAGTTTCAAGCAACCAATTCTCAGTACAGCAATTTAATAATACAGAATTTGCTAAGACAAGTATTGACGAGATAAAGAAATCACTGCAAACAAAAGATGCACAAGTCAGAGACACCAACAGCGAATCTTGACTGATGTTGGAAGAACGCTAGGTGATAACTATCTCCAAGTATTTTTCAATTGCTGAAGTAACTTTCCAGCAACACCAAATATCAAAGGTATGCCATGCTTAATAAGAAGGAAAACAATCCTGGAAGCTAAAGAACTGTACAACCATCCACCAATAAAAAGGCAGTGGAAACTCGCATTTTCCAAAGTTTCAGCAAAGGACAACAGTACCAATTTTCACACAAGCAAAATTTGTCCATGAAACAAAGCCTATAAAAGCCCAATTTTGACAGAAAGAGGGATCACATAGATACATGAAAATGGCATATTTGCATATTGTGATTTCATCCCTAATTCTACAAGTGATTATTGTATACATGAGGACACATTTCCATAATACAATTGAGTTAAGTCTTTTCACAAATTTACTAGCACATGTCCTTTTTGGCTTATCCCAAGATCCTTCTCAAGTTAAAAGAGGTCCTCTTTCGTCCTTCCAGTACAATTTTTCCTCCAATTTGAAACTGAATGAAAAGGGTAATACATAACCCTCATTTGAATTGAAACAAGAGCAAAACATTTACAACCTTGCTTTGCATCAGTATAATCTTCATCTCTAGACAGATTAACAGGCACTGATATCATCTCATGTCAAGACAGGCGAGCAAGCTGGTCCATGTAATTCAGACTAATTGTCAACTAGAATAGGAATTGTCCTAGAAGTAAAGTGTCTTGTGGTGCCGCCTTGAGCTTAGAAAAACTATAGTTCTCATACTTCTTTGCACCATTCCAAACAACAACCAAAAACCATTTTCTCATGATTAATATTAACTGAAAAGAATAGAAGAAATCTCATTCAACACTATGTCCAAGCATGATACAACCATAAGCCTCATGGTTTGATGCAAATAGCTCCAGAAAGCTTAGTTTTTCAACATAGAACTCCAAGTATAGGACAAAGGACGGAGTAGAAATAAACAGAAAAATACTTTTACAAATTACTAAATTTCAGTTAGCATCCAATGCTTTTGAGCTATGTACTACTCTGTATAGTAATTTTAAAGAAGCTTAAGAAAAAGATCAGTTTTGTTTAAGAAAAAAGATAAATGACTCAATTGCATATTCTAACATATACCAAATACCTCTTCATCTGCCTCCTCCTTAGTTGCAAAAGCAGTGTGACCTTCTTGCCAGAGAAATTCACGGCTCCTGAGTAAGGAACATGTGCAAAAAGTGTTACACACAGCTTGAAGATCTCAAATGAATGGTGGTTTTTGTTTATAATGTATAAGATAATTATACATAAGGAGAAGTGAAAGAAAGGAGATGACAATTAGGTCCATCCTCCCCAGAAAGACTAAAGCGAGTCGAAAAACAAATGGTTGCAGTCAGCACACCAAATTTTTGATGAGAGACAGGCAAAAAAAGATAAAAACATCGAAAAGCGAACCTAATGAATGGGGTGGGGTTGCTAAACTCCCATCGCACAACGTTGCACCACTGGTTAAGTCTCAAGGGCAAGTCACGATGTCCCCTAATCCACTTCGAGAAATAAGGATACATCACAGTTTCACTTGTTGGTCGAATCGCAATGGGCACCTCCAGATCAGAGTCTCCAGATTTTGTAACCCAAGCAACCTGTAGAACAAACACAACTGATTGAGCATAGTTAATGGAGAAATACTATACATTGTTAGATTGCTTATGAGGATGGTATTAACTGGAGACCATGATTGAAGTTACCATTACTGAAATTAACAACACTAGAGGAGTGTCTTACATCTAGGAATCATATATTGCCCAAATTTGTGATAACT